CCCAGTGGGGCATGGTCATACCACGATCCCTTCTCCTCCATTTTTCTATCCTGTTGGCATGCACATCCACGTGCCCAGTGAGTTTTTCAAGTCACCCAGGTTGGAATTTCAATCGCAGTGGTCCATGTGGGATCCAGTTCCCTTAATTACTGAACTATAGGGCTAGCCTCCAAATCTATTTCAGTTGACTATTCCACTGTGATCTCAAAAACGTGAAGGCTATAATCTCAACTAGACATATGTTTTGCAAAAAAAAACTTAAAAATCCTATATTCTTAAAGTAATTTTATACTTCTTAAAAAATCAGAAGGGAGGATGGTAGTAGGTGGCACAGTGGTTAAGGTGACGGACTCCCATGTGACCAACCCACAGTTTAAGTCCCAGAACTGGTAGCTACCAGTTCTGGGACTTGGAAGCTCTCTGGCATGTACACTTGCCAGAGAGAGAAAGAGACAGAATTCTGCAGGCAGCAGGCAGGTTGGCCACCTCCAAGTGTGGGGACACAGCACTGAAACAGAACGGCGACACATGTGCGTGAGTGCCCCAAATCCCAAGAGAATAGAGGAGAAGGAACTGTGGCATGATGATCCCCTCTGGGGAGTGATTTCTCTCTCTCTCTCCCTCTCTCTCTCTTCCTCTCCCTCTCTCTCTCTGTGTATCTCTCTTCAGTGAGTGTATCCATCCTAGGGCAAAAACCTAAAAAAAAAAAAAAAAAAAATCAGGGGACAGTCAATGGCACAGTGGTTAAGGTTCTAGATCCTACTTGACTGTGCAGTTCAAGTCCCAGACTGGTAGCCTAAAAGACATGTCAATGAATGTACCTGAACCCGTGTGTCTAAAATCCTGAAAGAAGGGTGAGATGGAGGAGAAGGGATTGCAGTGTAATCATTCCCCATGGAAGGTACTTCCTCTCCCTCTCTCTTTCTCTCCACCCCCTGCCCACCCCATGAGCACATGCGCCCTCTGGCAAAATTTTTTTTAAAAGAAAAAAAAAATCAGACAGCCAGCTCACCTTGTAATTCTGATCAAAATGGCGGCTCTTATTAATTAAGGGTCTTTTACTAAGCACAATGCCAAGGGCTATGTATAAGTGACCTCTAATTCTCATAATGATGCTACAACTAGAAGAAATGCACAGAGCACTTAAACAAGTAACAGCTAAACAGGAGACTCAACACGTTTAGAAACTGCCTAACTTATTTCACAAGACAGCGCTATAATATACTATATCCAAACTCAGTCTTCAATGAACTGGAAACCCATTTTAAGTAAATGTCCCATCAGATGGAACAGTCACATGAAATAAAAATAAGGGACATTTCACATGATCTTTGCATCCTCCCACCTCAAGTATAAGAGTAAGACTGTCAAAAAAGTTGCTAAATACAGTGTAATAAAACTTCCGTGGGCAGGATCAGAAAGTGCCACAGTAGTGGCACAATTGGACCTACATGGGAGGTCCCAGGCTCGCATTCTGGGGCCACCATCTACATGCCAGGTGGGGGCATGTGTTGCCTATGATTTAGGCTGGCTAAGACTGGGGTGGGTCACAGAGTGGGGCCCCTGCTGGAGGTGCTGATAATCTCCCCCTATGTCTCTCTCTCTCTGGGTATCTATCCCTCACTCTCTCTCTTTCTCAAGAAACAATTTTTGAAACAAATCTTTTTACAAAGTGTGGATATGTACTATTAAAAACAGGCCAGCAGGTAGCATAGTGGTTAAGGTAACAGACTACCACGCTGTCGACTGAGGTTTGAGTCCTGGACCTAGTGGCTTGAAAGGCACGCCGGGTGCATGTGTGTGTGTGCCCAAGATCCTGAGAGGAGAACGGAGGAGAAGGGACTGCAGCATGGACCTCCCACCAAGGTGATTTCTCACTTTCTGTCTTTGTCTCTCCAGCAAGTCCACGTGCCCTACAGCAAAACAAAACAAGACAAAATCTTAAAAAAAAAAAAAAAAAAAAGCTATAGAAGGACTCTCTGGCTTTAAAGTAAGAAGAAAAAAAAGAAAGACAGAAAACATAACAATGACAGACTTTGGGAATGAAATTCACTTTCAGAGACTGATCCCAAATCAAGACTAGCAGGGATGATGTCATCCTGCAGCTGCTCCAGACACTGAGTAGGAATCCGGGGCACCCAACAGAAAATCTAACGCTGCATGTGATCAGCAAGAGCGGTCTCGTCCCCAGCAGCTAGGGAGGAGACACACAGGTACAAGGAGGCCTCTGCATCCCAAAGACTCACTCTGGACATGAGTGTTCCAGAACAGGAGTCAGCCAACTTCCCACAAAAAGCCAAACGCTATCCAAATCTGCTGATACAATGCAAAAGTAGCCACAATCCTACATGAATGAGTGGGTGTGTGGTCCTGCAGAACTCTGCAGGCAGCAGGCAGGTTGGTCACCTCCAAGTGTGGGGACACAACACTGAAATGGAACTGCAACAAGCATTACCCTAGGACTGGACCAACTTCACGGGCATTAACACTGCTGTACGCATCTCACCACACACTGAGGCTGTCTCTAGGATGCTTCATTTCTAGTACATGCATGCATTTTAAATTCAGAAATCAGGAAATTATGAAAATAAAAATATTGCTTTTGGATAGTCAATAGTAAATAATCTATACAGGATTTACATTCAAGCATTTTATTTTTAAAGCAAAGTTCAATACTGTGTATAGACCTTTACAGTCACGTGTCAATTCGGGGGTTCTGTGTACACACAAAAGGTCACATGTCAGTCACTCACTGACTGACCCATATGTCTAACGCAAGCCAAAGTTATTAGGGAACAACTAGAATTAGAAAATTAATTGTAAGTTGAAGATATTAAGAAGACATGTTTCTCTATAAAACCCCGGAGATGTATCTAATTGCTATAATTGCAGATTACTCAAGACTGGAATCCATTGTAAATCATCCTATTTTCTGAGAAATTCTGGAACTGTCATCTAATTTTCCAGGAACACAGGAGAAGTGCTGCCAAGTCCTGCTCTTGGAGTTTTACAGAGTAAGACTGCGCCTTCAAACGCCACCGCAGAGCATCCAGCATTTCCTCAAAGGATGACAAAGTCTCCCGGGGGGTGCCTCGCCACTCCTTCCTTCATTCCTGCCCAGCTTCCGGGCTCCGGGGCAAAGGCGCCTGTGCTCACAGACACCTACCTAGTCCAGAGCGAGGCACTGACTGGCTTTGGTCCCTCTGCCATGGCTGTGCGAACCAGCAGGAAACGGAAAATGCTAGTGGGAGGGGAGGGGAGGGAGAAAACCACGAGCGCCTGTGTGTCGCTCCCCTTCCCCGTGCTGTCATTTGGCCCTTAAGCCTACCCTGCACACTCTGAGGAGAACACTGCTAAAGCATTTTAAGAGGGACTCCAGGCAGATGTGGGCCCTGAGTGCCCCCGAGCTGTTGGGATCCAAGGGCGAGTCAGCAAGCTGAAGGGAGGCCTGCAGCCGAGGTCCAGCAAGAACTGGGCCCCACCACCTGATCAGTGCGGGGAGGTAACCACAGCCTCTTGGAGAACAAGGAAATGATTACACCTGTGGCAGGTGTCTTTACTGGAGTTCATGCACTAAACACCCATAGGTCGCCACCAGACTTAAGAGTCCCCTAAGGTTTTTTTTATTTTTAATAATTATTTATTTTATTTATTTATTCATTTATTATTATTTTTAGTTTGATCAGAGAGAGACAGAGGGTGAGAGAGAGAGGAATTGAGAAAGAAGCCACCAGATTCAGGACTCGAACGCCAGTCGGCCATGTGGGAGTGTCCAGCACCTTAGCCACCATGCCACCTGCTGGTCCCAAGAGTCCCCTAAGGTTTTAGTCCTCTTCTCTGGCTTGTGATTTTGGCTTAGTGTCAAAAATCAATGGTAAGAATAAATAGTATTTGTGGGCTGGCCAATGGCAGGCTGGTTAAGGTGACTGGTCCCACATGACTGACTGTATGCTTCAAGTCCCAGACCCGGTGGCTTCAAAAACTTGTCAGGCTTGTATGTGCGCATGCCCAAAATCCCAAAAGGAGAATGGAGGAGAATGAACTGCAACTTGGCAATCCTCCCCCCCTCGGGGGCGGGGGGAAGCTTCTCACTTTCCCTCTCTCTGTCTCTCTGTTACAACAAATTTTAAAAAGAAAGAAAGGAAGAAAGAAAGGAAAAGTGTGAACAGTATTCCTAATCTTCAGTCTTTCTTAGAATGTTTACTTGACTTTGATACCAAAAAACAATTGAGAAGACGTCTTTTTGCAGTCATGATGCAGTAGGCAAATTCTCATTGCTGAGCTAAAAAGAGGCTTAGCAGTCTGACAGAGAAAAAAAAATTCAAAGAAGTGCAAAAGTCTGATCAAGGAAGAGATAAGCAACAAAGGGATCCTCTGGCCGGATGGTGATGATCCACAGGCTGGGCTTTCCTAATCCAAACCCCTGACATGCAAAACACTCCCAAATCTAGACCTCTTTAAGAGACATCAGGACACCACAGGTGGAAAATTCCAGCCTGACGTCACATAACAGGTGTGATTTTTTAAATACTTCATGGACTGGCCTCGGTGGTGCAGGCGGGAGGTGCTGCTGTGCGAGGCTGGAGCCCTGCAGGAAAGCTCAGGGCCTGCTTCCTGGGTCTACTCAACACACAGGGCACTAATCACAGCTATCGAACCAGAGATCAGCCCTTTAAAATGTATCCCTCTACACTTCAAAGTAAAAGTTGAAAACAAAATCTGTTTCAGAGAAGATGAAGGAAACCCCAATGAAACTTTTCAAGCAGCCCAAGAATAAGAGCTAGAGAAACCGATGGAATGGAAATAAATTTGTAAGCCCACCCAGGGCTCCCGGAGAAGGGAAGGACCAGTCGGTAGAGAAGCCTCCATCTCTAACAGGCAGAGGACATTGGGCCAAGAAGCCCCCATCAAGAAACTACCTGCTGTTCCAGTCCCATACTCCCCCTGCAAGCTCACACCTCCAGCTGCACCACCCAGTATCCACCACCATTGCAACTTGCCATTTGGAGTATTAGGACGCAGGAGGTGAAATCAGAGCCTGCTTTGTTCCAAACACCAAATCCCAAGTACTGGCAGGTAGGCAAGCTTGTCACACCGTAAAACTCTTTCAGGAAAGGATGCGTGGTCCAACGAGCGTACTACAATATGTCACAGAGCAAACCAAGCAAGACTGAGGCAAGAACGTGCATGGTTTTCTGCATCTTGGGACTTGCATCTGCTTCTCTTTGGTGACCCGCGAGGGACAGGATTGGTCCACGGCTGTCGGTGACACGTGTGCACTGGCCAGAATCAGATGTGCATGCTCATCCGTACCTGGTAGTAGGGATGGTGCAAAAAGGAATCTGGGCAGCCAGCTAAAGCCATCGGTTCCTTCCGACTTCTTCGAACTGCATTTACTGCAGTGCAGCACCTAGAATAAAGACAGACTGTGAGAAGCCAGAAGAAAAACGCACAGGCACCACGGTTAAATGTGTCAACTTGTGGCCACCAATGGTGAGGCTGTGGGATGGCTCTCGGTAGGGTGCCAGCTGTCTTCTAACATGAGGAGACCAGTTAGAGAGCCCTGAGGAGCATCTGAGGTCTCCAGGGTTCGTGAGATACTGAGCATCCAGTGGAGGTGGCCATCAGATCCATTAAGGTTGGCAGATATTCTCAGCATTGCCCTGAACTGCTGGGCCTTATTTTCCCTGTAGTATCAACAAACACCCTGGAGACTTTGGGAAAGTCTTAAGGAAACACGAATGCAGCTCAATCCCCAAAAAGTCCTGAAAACAGTTTGCGTGTGGCTGGGGTCAGGGCTGCTGAATGCCAGGTGTTAAACACAGTCAAGAACAAACCCCAGTTTCTGAGGACATCAAGCCGGACATGCCTCGTTGACGCTCACCCCTGCGGCACAACACCAGAAGCACCATAACATTTGGGGTATTCATTCTACCAATCCGAATAGCAAAATCACCTGGGCTGAACAATCTCCTCCCAGAATTCCCAAGCTGCAGCCCTAGCTCCTAGTTCCTCAAATTGAGACTTTTTGGAGACAGGATCTTTAAACAGGTTAAAATGAGGTCACCAGGTTGGGTCCTAATCCAATCTGACAGTGTCCTTATAAGAAGAGGAGATGAAGACACAGACCCAGAAGGAGGACCATGAGAGGACAAGAGGACGTCATCTTAAAGCCAAGGAGAGAGGCCTCTGACAGAACTAACCTCTCAGATACCTTGAACCTGGACTTCCAGTGCCCAGAACTGAGAGAGGATAGGTTTCTATCGTCTGCGCCACTCCATTTTGTGGGACTTCGTTACAGGAGGCTTAACAAACTCTCAATATATTGGGTCATCAGAAAAGACATGATACATTTTTGCACAGAAAACGTGGCATGACTTTTCCGACAATTGAACAGAAACACAACTAGACCATGATGATAGTCGAGCCAAGAGGAAAAGGAACAACACGAATCTGTAAAATTAACCACCAATTGTATTTTCTGACAGTGTTTTGCCAAAATCCTGCAAATCACCCATAAAGGAACAAAAGAACAAGCCCTGAATAGGCCGCTGAGCCCTAAAGGAATGGGTGGGAACCAACAGAAGGGGCTAACCAGG